CAGCATTATTATTGCTCAGATTGAATCAACAGCTGGTCGTAAAATGTTTTTTAACACCAGTGTACTAATAGAGCACCCTCTTATTTCCAGACTTCATTATAAGAATAGAATACTAAGGAGTTAATATTTCCCTCAGGTAATTGAGGTACACCATTTACTTCAATTTCCAAAGAATGCATAGATTTAAAAGGATAAATATGACACAGTGGTACAGGAATAGGTGTATTCATGAGAATAATGTTTATACCACATCTATTCCCCTAGGCAAGAACATACTCTTTTCCACCTCCATACCACAGCTGTATGTTTCTACAAATCCACATTTATACAATTACATTCTGAGGAAAAAGGAGCAGTGATTGTTTTAAATTAATCTCCTTTCAGGCCAGAAACAATTCCTACACTTTTTTTGTAATGGCTACCAAATCACTGCATTCCCTGACAAGAAAAAAGTTCTTATTTAAGACACATAGCCCTACAGAAAATGCCAGTCTTTAAAGTCAAAATATGGCACTATCCTCTCATAGGGGATAGGTTGAAAAGGATCTGTGAAACAGAAGTCAGAATTTGAGGAGGTTGTGAATTGCAGGCTCTATCCAAATTTAATTTGCCTTCTATATACCATAAATACCCTATATTTATAGATTAAAGATTTTGGGAAGAATTTGTGGTTGCTTAGCACCTGAGTGTATTCACATACGTTCAGCAAAGTGTATGAATATACAGTTACCCTCTCCCAGCTCAGTGAGATAGTATTTTACATTTACTTTGCATTCTCCTTGGCTGACTGACAACACGTATCAGAAGGCAGTTTAAAATCCAGCACCCCAGCACATATGTTATCCTCTAATAATCAAGCACAGGAAATAGCAGCTACTTCTTTCACCTCTTTCTCACCTGGAAACTGTGCATCCCTGGTCTGTTGAGTGAGGTTGAAGACCTCACTCAACAATTTGCTGCAGCAGCAGCAAAGGCAAAAGCTGTGTCTTAACAGCAAAAGATAATGATGGGGTTTAGATACTGAAGAAGAGTTATGTCCAGATTCAGCCAGCCTGAACTATACCTAAGGTTTGTCCCTCACGCCTCTTGGATATATAGGTCTAGAATCATCTGAAACATTGAAACAATGAGGCCCAAACTGGCTGATCTGAGCCTTTCCCATCTCTACCAGAACTTAAGCATAAAAAAAGGGCCAAGAATTCACCCCCATTTTCCATGGCATCTTTGGCTTCAACTCCTTGTCACCATCTACATGCATCTACTTAGATCCAGAAAGCCCTAGGGATTTTTGAAAGTTTATTCTGGAAGAAAGAAAAGACTATTTTGTCTTTCCTTGTATTTTTGTTTTTCCCTGTGCACTTGCCTGGTTGCTTCTCATTCACTTGCTACCCCTGGATTGAACTGGCTGCAAGTATAAAAGAGAAAAGAAATGCAGCTGACTATATTGGCAGGCATGGGTGAGACTGTGAAAGAGGGTTGATTGTTTAGTCAGCAAGGCTCAGATTCTTTAAACTTTGTTTGTCATTGTCCCCAAATGAAATGTGTCATACAATTCATAGCTGATTTGCTTACCCAGATTAAACACTAAAATATTAAAGGAGGCTCTGAGATGCGTTTACTTCCTCCGGAGAACCCATTCCCTTAGTACCCATTTGTTCAATGTATTTACTTTGCCCTTAGCCTGTCCCATCCCTCCTACCACTCTGTCACTATCAATTCCCCCTAGGCAACTTTGACCCATTGCTGGTAATACAATGACATTTAAATTGTAAAAAATACATTAAGCTCTATCAGAGGACTGTGTTCATCTTCATATAAAACGTTAACTTTCCCTTTGCCTGTGGGAAAGGGAATACCTCAGAGCAATTTCTTGGGTCTCATAGTGGGGGAAAAAAAGGCAGAATGATATTTCCTCTGTGAAATGTTCCAAATTGCTGAAAGAAGTGTCCCTCAATGTCTAGAGTCCACAGAATTCCTATACCCACATGGAAAAAATTATACTGAGGTATGTGCCCTGTTCACCTGAACTCTGGTCTATTATATTTTGCACCATCTTGCTCAAGTTTTGTGAGCAATATTATTCAGAAGGTTTTCTGAAGCCTTTTCTACTAACTGGCTTTTGTCAGAGGTGATGTCAGTCAGTACAAGAGATGTGAATGTGTTGACAGAACAAAGATTTTGAGATGTTTATAGTTCCATATATATATAAATAAAAAATTTGACAGGGTTTGTTCTATTCCTGTTTTCGTTCCCTTGGTAGAGGCTGAAGGTGAGCTGAAATAGAAATTCTGGTTAGCTCTGCTTTATAAAAAACAAATGTCAGCTTGCAGAGTCCTCAAAGCTCATGGAGATAGGGACAGAGAAAAGGCAAAGGCAAGAATTAGTGCTACACCTAGCAGCAGGACTCATGAAAACCCACAGCATCCCTTCCTCCCTTTATCATCCCTCAGTTCTTTTGTTCCCCACTTAAAATTACAAAAAAAAAGTAGGACCTATTATAAAAAATGTTATTGCTTTCTTACATTTTCATGTGACCTCCTTTTTTTTTCTTTTAGCCTTTATAAGTGGTTGGCAAAATATATACAATATTTTGGTGAAAATAGAAATTTATGTTTTTCATTTATTTTCCATTTTATCACCTTTCCTTGTATAGGTCTGCTCCTTGTCTCTTCCAATTTATCTCTGGAAAAGTAATGGGAGCAAGGTAGGGAATTATATGCATTTTAAAGGCTTATTTTCAAATAGTTTTCAATGAAACTTCAGTTTTAGTAAGAGGTTGAGCTTCCAAATGATCTTTCTCAATGCCTAAATATAAAGAATCTCAACCAACTCTTTGGCTATATGTGTTAATACCATAGTAGTAATAGTATACAGCATAGACTGGTAGTACCTGGACCTGTTTTTTCCTGGTTTTTTTTGTTTGTTTGTTTTTATCTAAATATCAAAAAAAACACCAAATCAGTACAATGCAGCTGAAATACTACATTTATTTTTTTATCCAGAGACATTTCAAATATTAGTGTATTTTTTGAGTGGCAGGAGTGAAAAGTAAAGTTACCTTACTGTTATCAATCTTGAGCTGAAAGTATTTCCTTAGAACTAGCCTGGTAATTGTCTTCAGTAATTGCAAGGCTGCTAGCTACTTGCTGTATTATCTAAAATCCTGGGTCATCCTTCTGTAACTTTGATCAGCACGGTTTTCTCTCTGACATGGTTTTCACATGTTTCTAAGTATTAGACAGTGCTGCAAAGCCCAAAAGGTAGCACATTCTATTATCTGTGTGCTACTAAAATGTATCATGCAAAAGTTGTTCATTAGCAAATTGTATCTTACAAATACATTTTTAAAGCAACACCCTGGGCTTCAATGCTCCACAAATAATGCATTACAGATTCCCACTCTGCCTTGATTTGGTCTGTGCAGATAAAGAAGAAATACATAAGATTACTGACAGATCTTTTAATTTTGTGAAATGTAATCCATGTGACACATGGTTTTAGGTGCTATTATTTTGTTTCCTGCTTTACAGAGACTTCAGTTCTGAAATGTCAATTATCTACTGAATCAAGTGTACAGTACAGGAACTAGTAAACATAAAATAGCAAATGCATGCCATTGGTTTCCCCTCTGTTACAGATTTGGCCATTGTGGGAAACCTAGGTTAGTTTTCAAGATATTTATATGAATGTTGATATTACTGGGAACCACAGTTAATTCCATTTCTTACATTGAGTATTATATATAAATTTTTACACTGATGATTAATAAAAGCAGAGTCTTCTGTATGCTAAAAAACCTACATCAGTTGTGTAATTCTACCCTAGAAAAAGTCTGCTGTTGGAAATAGACTAGCACCTCACTTCTGTGATTTGGGCCTGAAAAGCTGTGTGATTAGGTGTAATCTAAACTTGCAAAACTTCAGCAAGTGTTTGGTTGTACATACTTTGAGTCTTATGAACTTCAGTGATTAGCACAGTGCAAAGCAAATATAACAATTTTTGCAGAACAAAAGGAGCGATTAAAATGTGCAACAGATACATAAAAATGAAAGTACTAGTTCAGCAAGAACCGCTAGAAACCACCTTAAATATAGGGTTATTTGGTCTTACAGTTTGTGTTGAGAATGATTCCAAAGAACTGCCTTAAGCCTAGCGTTTTCATGCTTTTCATGATAGTCCTTGTAACATGGGCTAGGACATTCCAGTCCCTTCTCTGGTATATGTACAAGATAGCAGGCTGTACCTTCATTTAGCTGCATGAGTCGATTTGAAAACTAATAATTGAAGTGTTTGTGAGCAGAAGTACCTTTAAGGAGTTTGGGAGCTCTTCAGCAGATTACTGCAAAACATAGGATGCCATCATACTCACTGAAAAGGCCTTTATAGCCTTTAAATGTCCTATATGTAGCCTGACTTTCCTGGAAGGTAACTTTCTATATTAACAGAAGTATCTTGTTTCTTTTCCCCTGCTTGTTCAATAACCCCTTTGAATCATTGAAAAGCCTGTAGGTGATAAAAGTATTCCTTGAAATCATCTCAAACCGAATGTAGCCACAAGGTAAAATTCTTCCAAGAGCAAAAATTGGTCATGCACGATTACTTTCTGAAGCACAAAATAGCTAGCTCAGACTTTATACCATCATTAAATAAATGGGAACTAACGAAAAGTCCTTTTTTCTTTCTCTGTCCTTATTACGCAGAATACGTTTTGACAATGTTTTCTGCGTTAATGTGGACCCAACTCAACCTTGCTCTTATTCTGTATAATGATTTACAATAACAAAAAAAGGATACATAGTACTGCATTTTGGATTTCATAGCTTTTTGTCTCCACTTTGTTAAGCATGTATAGAACAAGTGAAGGGGATGGGAGGTAAGTCTCAGTGGCAACCAAGAGGAGCTCCTCTGTAGTAACATGAAAGGAATGCTGTATTGTAACATGACTTACCCTCACTGCTAGATCTGTCATGAGACACAAACCCTACACAACTTTACTCCTCATTATTAATAAGAATAGACCACCTTCTATTTACCATGGACAACACTCTGCTAACATTAACCATCTTAAATGCGACCTTGCTCTCACATAAATTCAATGAAACTCATTGCAGAGTGTTATCTGATATAACTGATTTCTGAGTTGTCTCAAGAAGCCATTTCTGAGGGCAGGCAGCTCACTCTGTTTCTTACCAGAATATACAAAAGTCTTTGGAAACAATGGCAACTAATGATAGCCTGCACTGCTACTGCTTTTCCTTTCAGTGCTGGCACTGTGATCCATTATACCGTTGTGTGAATAAGAGCAAATGGGTGCATGTTTAAAAAAGGAAAATGTTGATAAAGGCATTGCTCTTTATTCATCTTACCCTGGTCCTCAGCACAGATTTACTTAGTAGTTCAGTGAGCGTTAGCCTCTCCTTCTTGTTCAGCAGTCAGTTCATCCTTTCTGCCTACATCATATTACAGCCCCATAGCCCTGCTGCTCTCCCTGTCTCCATACCAACTACATCCCCCCCCCCCCAGTCAATCACTGCTCTCCACAGTCAGTCCCTTTGAAGTTAATTAACCCCACTCCTGACAGAAGATTCTACTGAAAATGAAAAAAAAAAAAGGTACAAAGTTCAAAAAATATAAGGTGTCTGACTCAGTGGTCACAGGGAATGGAGACAAATGCTGATCTGTAAACCCGTAATAACTGGAGCATTAATCAAATGATGTAAGGTCACCATTCCCCTTTAAGACTGACCACAAAGCGATGAACAACAATGCATCATCTTCCACATGTAAAAATGAAGAAATAAGACTGAAATCCAGATTCTGATTTGACTCTCACCCTTTTGATCAGAGATTAGTAGTCCTATGCTTCACTGAAATCTGAAATTGAGCTCTAAAAAGGAAGTACGGCACTTCAGAGAGGAAACGGTTATCAATATTGCCCTTCTGTGCATTCAGAATTTTAAAAAGAGTATCTTTACCCCCTCAAATAAGAATAGGTAAACATTCAAATAATTATTATAGCCACTTATTATTCATTTTGGAGTGCGTTCTTATAACCCATTTGGCAGAACAAAGAGGTGTTTATTGGAGAGAAATTGCCTTTCTTAGGCATACTGTCACTGAGCCCATCTGACATAGACAAGCTCAGATAGGAGAGAGGTCAAAGGATGAAAAAGTTGGAAAATTCCTTCCTTGTGTCCATTATAAGGAAGTAAGCTATTTAACAAGCAAGTGTGAAGTTACTTGCTACTTATGCAAGCAATGAGCAGAGGAAGAAACACTGACTGAGCCATAATTTGTACCCTGCTCTGACTGTATTGACTATTTCACTGTACACTCAGGATCAAGGCAGCCTGGTGTCACCCAGCAGCTAGCTTAACCGCATAGGCAGGGGAAATGCTGGAATGCATCACATCCACTCTTCCTTCTGACTGTGAGATGAACTGTAATCTTGAGAGTAAGACTGCTATGAAGCTCTGTTTCAAAGTCAAGTTATAAAATCTAGAAACATTCCATTCCCAGCATGACACTAATGGAATATCTCAGTGGTGAGTGGTTGTTTGAGAGCTGGTATATGAAAGAGCATAGATACAAGTGATACTTATGTGCTGCAAACTTCCAGGAAAATGATGAATTCACTGTAGTTTCTCTTATGATGATTAGCTATGAGTGGAATGTGCAGGTCAATTTTGCTTGTTGAAAATACTCATGACATTACAGGGGGTGGGAGGGGAGCAGGAGGCTGTCCCATGTTTCCTTCTTTGTGTTTTCCTTTGAAGCTGAAGATACCGCAATATGAGAAGTCATCTCAGAAAGTAAGTCACTTGGGTTAGACGCCATTGTCACTGTGTTTGTACAGAACATGTCAGGGCTCCTGGGTCTGGGAGCATCTCAGCCGTCACTAAACAAATTCTTTGTGGGGGGCTGCGGTGCCAAGCATGTGGTTGCCTTATCTTTGCACAAAGAACTCTTGTTTAAGGCAACTAGCTCTATCCAAGACAACGTCCGTAATGGCTTACTAGCTTAACACTGAAGTCTCTGACTGTTGTGCCAAGCCTTTCGTCTGACCCTTGACTTGCTTTCAGTCCCCTGTCTCTGGATGCTAATGTATGGGTAACAGCCCCTCCAGAGGCTGAGTTACCACTCCTGGACCTCTTTACCATACCTAGACATATTCATCTGATCTATTGAAATGCAACTGAATTAAAACCAAAGACTTCCATTAATTTACTAGAAAGAAAATCTAGTGAACAGGTTTTGCACTCTTGTTATACAGCCACATGGTTTTCTGTACAGAATAGTGTTCTAATCTCATTTTTTCATATGGCCCTCAACAGACTTTGTATCCAGACTGAAAGAAAAATACTCGCAAATCATACTAGACACCAATGTGATCTGAGGTATTCCACATTATAAAATTAGAGTGCCTGTGCATTAACTTTGGGAAGTAAACTGACAATGGGATAAAGGAAATATTTTCCATAGTGAATTACTGTAAATCTGATTTTTCATTTCTTTCTTGGAAGATCACCATAGTAGATCAAATGATCTATGATCCAGAAAAAACATTTCTTCTCCCCTCCCCTTCATGACTAGGAGTAGAATTTTCATGAGAAGACTATATATGCAATTGTATTCTGCTGTATTTTGATTCACCTTTGGATAAAGATGGGTTTCTTCCCTCAAGGAGCAACCCAGTCACATCATGGCCATGACTTCTACTATATTCTAGCTTGGACAGCTTAGATCTATTAAACTGTGAAATAACTTGTCCTTATATTATGCAACCTTGATAATTCTCTGTATGGCATTACTCACGGATGTTCAGGGTGGAAGCATCATCTCTAGGAAAAGAAGGTAGGAAGCTGAATGTGCTACCAGAACTCTAAAATAAGAGGGAGGAGGGAAAAACCCAGAGGTTCATGTATCTTTGGAAAGTGCGAAATAAGAAAACTGAAAAAAATTCTTTGAAAACTGAAGTGTCTTTGAATAGACTGTGATATTTTTGAAAAGCAAATCCCAGCTGTTTGTGGAATGTTCTGTTATGCCATTGAGCATTTCATGCCTGCACACAATTTTTTTCCACTGTCTAGACTCAGTAAGAAATCTAGTTTGTATATACACTTATACACATTCTCACACATTATGGGGATGTCAGAAGTGATGCACAGTTAAAGATGGTTGGTTGAAATGTACAGTTAGCGTATTACTAAAATCCCTTTTCTTCACACTTCAGTGACTGAATCTGGGATCCAACTTTGACAATCTAACTCTTTAGAAGAAAATTTAATTCTGGCTTTGCTTTTGGCAAGTAACTTACTGTCTTGCAGGGGAAATCTCCTCCGTCTTGTTCTTGTTCTTTGTTTACAAGCTGAATTAAAACTTTTTCAGAATGAGTGGATTTAATTTTTTTTAAGACATTTGTAGGAGATACATGGTCCTTTCCACAGCCAAAAGCAAGTGAAGCAGATCACAAAAATGTCAATGTTCTGTGCCTCAGGATTTCTTCTGAGTATTGTGCTGTTCTGGGAAAGGGTATGTGTGAATGTGTCTGTGCAGACGACACACGGAAGAGTGAGGCAGATGTTTTTGCACAGTCTGAGCAACACCTGGGTTTGACCTGAACAACAGACTAGAGAAATATGCTCTTGAGGTAACATGGAAAGTGAACAAAGTTTGGAGATGTCAACCTAAAAACGAGCCTCACATTTTTTTATAAACAGAAATGCAACAGTTTAATAATTTTTTGCTGCTCAACCAGAATACACCCTAAACCATTAAATATTGATTCTGCTAGCTGGGTCAAAAGAGATACTATAGCCCATATCCTTCCAGGCATTCGCCAGCAAAAATAGTACCTTCTCTTCCTGCTCTGCTGTTGATAGTCTAATAATATCTTGAACATAGTCCAATTCTGACATTTTAAATGCGAACAGATTTAGATTCTGTTTTTCAGAACACATTATAGTGAATCACGCAGAGATCAAACACTAAGGCTGCTACAATCTCCACTTACTTTTATTTTACCTTATTTTATACCTCCATTTTAGGCCAAGACATAGGATAAACAGCAAAGAGAATGAATGTTAGTGCTTAGAGTGACTGGAAGATGAAAAGTGGGCATGGTTTTTATAGGCTGTTGAAATTTCATGGAACAAAAGTTAAATAGCAGAGACTTTAAGATGTGTGTGAAGCAAAGGCAGATTGGTATTTGAGTTGAGCCTCCAGCTAAAGTAGCTTCCACTTCTTAAAGGAGAAATATCTGTATGGTTCCTTCCCTATCTCTCCCCTGGATATTAGCTGGGCATTCCTGAGTGCAAAAATGCCAATGGACATATCCAGAGCTCAAGGTCCTTCCTGAACTTCATACTATTCTTTTTCAGTGGCAATAACATATTCTTTAAAATTGTTTAGATGACAAATGATATTGTCTCAGGTGGTTCTGTAGAAGATAATTTTTTATCATCTACAATATTTTTTCATTTCCTCAATAGCTCAGATACAGATTGTTTTGACTTTCTGCAAAATACTGAGAGCATTACAGCAGGTAAAATACAAATTTGATGGGCAAAACATTTTAAAAGAATACAGTTTGCCTCTCCTGCATCACACAGTGTTGTTAGCAATTATAAATACCAACTCCAAACACTCTGAAAAGTTTTCAAGGAATTTGACAGTTTAGAAATGCTCATCCACAAAAAAGTAGCATAATTTTTTTTTAAATGACTGATTAAGACTGATATGGAAATACCTGGTCCTGATTATTTTTGCTTATGAGCACTGGGACTGTGACAGATGCACTCAACCCCTTAACAAAAATAACTTGGAATACCCATCATGCAATTAACTCATGCATAGCAGGTGGCTTTTCCAAGACTCATTTATCAAGGATCAAAGAAAGTTGTGGGTACAAGGAATCTCATGCATACCTTTCCCAGTGCATGGAATTTGACTACAAGCCAACCACTTTATTTCCATAACTATGATGCCTAAATAAGCTTTTTTTGAGCTCCCCCTGCTAAGCAGCATGGCTGCATGGTGGTGATCTCCCTTTAAGCTGGGACACCTCTCAAGGTTGCTCCTCAAGGCACAGACCTTTCACCAGTGGCAGATACATGGTAACAGATAGTGTGCATAACCTTTTATTGTAGTAACTTTGATCTTTGTCTTGGTAAGTTTAACTCTGCTTTGGTACTTCTGCATCAGGTGTCTGTGTGGTACAGCAAAAGAGTGAACCTTGCCACTGAAGTTTAAGCCGCACTTTTACAACATGTTTCAATAAAAACTGCTTTGATAGTGGTTCTTTAAGGGAACCAAATCAAGCATTTGTGTTTGAAACCTTACTTTGTCAATTGAGGGGTGTTGAGACCTTAGTTCAACAAATTCCCTGCTGTGAGAAGCCGATGTCCTGAGCCTTTCTTGAATCACCCACGCTGTTCTGCTGAGAGCATGTGCCTAAATATCTTGCTAGACCATGGCCCATGGGCCATTGTGGTTTTATTTAAATGGTATTTATGGTGTTAACATCCACTACTTAATTACCAAGGTATTTAATTACAAAGGTAATTAAGTGGTTTATGAGTAAATTAATATTGCTGTAGAAAAGAAAAAACACAAATGTATACGCTAAACATCAGCAGTGATACCATACTTGACTATTGTTAGTTTGGTGAATGCTAAAGTGGGAGTGAAAAGAAGTAATTGTCTTCTGGAGGAGGGCTTCCATTTCATATGGCAAATAAATAATTCTACATCAATCCTCCCCATCATCCCCATCACTTCAACACAGCCTCCATTTCTATTTTAGACCTGAAGTCCTGATGAACAGAATAAATGGTGTGGAAATGGCATAAGTACTGTGACCTCCCTCCTCATTACAAATCAGGTAGTGAGGTACTTCAACATGGAAAATGGACTTTGTGCCTTCTGCAAAGTCATGATCTTACTCTTAATGCTTTGGTAGTCCAATTAATGTAAATATACAAGTCTGAATAATTGCTTTGGGGTCATCTTAATTAAAAGTTTAATTTTTAAATTGGAAGAGAGATCAATTAAGATATACCCTCAACCGTTCACTAAATCCCATCCCTTACATTTTATGAAGAATTATTCCATCTCTACTCACGTGCAGGTAAGAATACTAATCCCACCTCACTCTTCCATTCTGCCAGTGGTAATGCTATAAAGAAAAATCTTCCTTTCACATACATCTAAATCACATGGAAACCCTGTCATCTGGCTCCCTGTTTTTCCCATATAGGGATCAACTATGGAAGAAATGGCTGTCACTACTATAACTCCCTCTCTGGAAGAACAGAGGAAGGGCAGAGGGAGCACTGCCCCAAGCTGGAAAGACCAAAACACAGACCAGCCCTCTCAGAGGAGCACTGGACAAGACCAAGCTTGAGGAAGAGAAGCTGCAGACCTGTAGCTGTGGTAAGATGCCTGGAAATTCCTGGGGTGGGAAATTATAGGGGAATTGTTTAGTGTGAGAGTTTTTAATTCACAACTTTTTGTTATCCAGAATGCAAGAATTCTCATGAATTTTACAATCTGGGCACTATGAACTAGGTTAAGTACATCTGCACTGAGTTTTCAGGGGAAATTAAGTGAGAACTGGAAAAAAATTGGAAGGTGGCATTTCCAACCAAGTGCCTCTGCCAGGTGTAAAAGTTTCTGTGGCTATTTACAGTCACCTCTTGGTGCTACTGTTCAGTTTCTGCTGATGTCTCATTGGATGGGAGTCCAATAGATCTCTTAGGACAAAGCCAGGCTGCTTTTGAGTATGCCCAGCACTTGTCCAGTCTGAGAAGAGGCACGCCACTACAAAACTGAGATTTCTTGATGAAAAACAAAATCTTAACTACCAACTGATGGGATATCAATTCCTTCTGTGGTACCAATCATGCAAAGAGTACTCAGAATAGTCTCGTATCAGAGTGATTAAATTTAGTTGAAGTGTTTGTGGAGTATAGAATAGTTAGCAGATTTATTGCCAAATCACAGACTTCTTGATTAAACACTTGAACAAAACCTCAACATTTCCTCCTTCAAATAGGGATTCTGTCTTGTCTATTCAGTGTTAGGTTAAAAGTGTGCCTGGGGGTGCTGAGTTATACTTTAACAAACAGTGTCTTGAAATCCAATTTACACAGGAGGTAGACCTGGAGCTGTGATCCCACTAGAACTCCACTGCCTTAGAGAAAGCTAGGAAAGCAGGCTGCCTTAGAGAAAACTAAGAAAGCAGATTAGCTGAGATTACCACTAGAATTTACAGATTCTTTCAATGTTTTCCTCAGAGAATAGCTGTCCCGGTACAATCTGCTGAGAGGGCAGCAGTGATATAAATACGCTCCTCCTGTTTCTCCTTCACCAAAAAGAACCCATTTATACCACAGCTGCATATAAAAATTTAGGTAAGTTAGAAAGTAGCATTGAGGGGATTTTTGTATAACAGATTCAGACTTCTGTGTAACAGCTGAGAAATGGCAAGTGTACATAGTCTTTCTTTCTAACAAACCTGCCCATGCCCTGCCATGAACAGTAGGCATTTACCTTCATTGCCCTACCAAAGTCACATCAGAATGTGCAGAACCTATTAGTTTTTCACTAAAGACAAAACAAAACACACTTTATTTCACATTCTGCTATTCAAAAGTGATAAAGGGATTCAATGTGAGGGATATGATGCAGCTGGCTTTTCCAGGTACAATAAAGTGCTGGTGAATGTTTAGATGTTAACAAATAAAAATAACTGTTGGAAGAAACTGAATGTCTTTGTAGAAAATCCTTCCAGTTGAAGGAAATGGTCAGCCTGCAAAATATACATGCATGTTACGCTCAAGAAGACTGAACCTCCCCAATTCCACAGTTTGGGGATTTACTTTTGACGGGTTTGCAACTGGTGGCCCAGGGCAGTTCCTGTAATAACTTTTCAGCCCAACAGAGCAAGCATACAAAGGCAGAAGCTGTGAGCAAAGATGCTGCTGCTTTTTGTTTTGATTCCTCCAGCATTCAGGGAAAAAGGTCTGGGTTCTCTGAAAAAAGGAAATCGTAGTTCTGCTTCAAACAGCCACTCACCTTCCTTATGTGCATTTCTTCTAAGCAGAACAGCCTGCAAAACCCTGAGTGTGTGGCTGAATGCTCAGGTCAAAGGAGCAATTGCTGCTTCCAAGTTGTCTTGTCATTTAAATGACATTACTGAGACTAAGGCCTCCTGGCATCGGGGGACCTCCCACAGGAGTCACCCAATGGAGGAGTATAATCATATTTCCCTTTCTGAAATGAAGACCACCCTCCTGACCTCCTGGCTGCTCAGAATAATTCCATCATTGTTATAACACATTCATTTGCCATCAGGTGAAAGAAGGTGCCTTCACTGGGACATTTTTACCCAGTGACATTAAATACAACCAGATTGGGGTTGTGAGTGAAAGCCATGCATTAGAAACCTTTTCATCTACAACCTTCCCTCTCCTTTGGGCATAAATATCCCTTCTCTGACAGGGCTCTCCAAGTACGAAATCCTGCGGGGCTGCAGCAGAACACAGCAATGAGCTACAGCCAAGTATGTGACACACATTGGGCTGATCCAGCAACAGGCTGTGGAATTGCTCTGCTACAATCTAGCTGTCCTGAAATGATATAACGCATAATAAAACCATGACAGGTACTGAAGGAAAGTTACTCTTAGGAAATAAACACGGGGCTCTTCTTTTTTAACTTCTTCTTTACTAAATAGATAATATGTTGAAACTAGAAAAGAAGTAAGTAGCAAATCCAAATATTAGCATTTTTCTGATTAAAGGCAGTTATTGATGATCTCTACTTTTGCACGGCTCTATACTTTTATGTAAGCCTTTGTCTGTCTTACATGTCCTGCGTAAATAAACGACAGATATGTGACAAGGGAATATAAAATGGACATCGTCATGTAGATTACTTTCCTCGATATCACAAAAATCATACACTTTATGGTGGATGAATCCTCTTCTGCAGAGTCTTTGTTAAAAATAATCCTGCATATTATTCTACTGTCTTGCCTGAGAAGCAAAGCAAGACTGGGACTAGTCTGAGACTGTCAGTCTGAGGCTTGCCTTCAGTACCTAGCAGGAGACAACAGAACTGGCACTTTTCTGGGTGCATCCCTGCTCAGTGATGGTATCTGTGTTATTTGCCATGGAAAACTGAGTGTCCACGCCAGCTGAGACACAAAAGAAGGTTGGAATGGCTGCTTACCTTATTGCTCCAGCAATAAGGTCCATCTATTCAGGACCATACAGGAGCTGCATAGCACCCTGTAAGCATAGACAGCTGAGCTCTAGACACCCTCTTTAGATCATGTGGTTAAGAAGTTGCAATGAATCAGCTACAAGTCTGTTCATGCACAGTTTGACGTCTCAAGTTCTGAGCCCACCCACCTTTTTTATTATTTCCAGTTTTTGCTGAGCATATAATAGTGTTTTAAAGTAGAAATTCAGATTCTCCTTCTACCAGCACTGCTGTTCTTTATTTTGGTCAAAATGAAGCAAACTGAAGGCTAATTATTTCCTGCTTCAAGCATAAAAGGGTGGTTATCTGAATGTTCCCCTCTAATCCTATCACAAGTGTTATAGGAGCTAGTAATAAATGAGCTTCCAATTAATTAAATACAGCTCTCCATATAGACAGATCACTCCAGAAGCTGTTTCTTTTTTTTCCTCCTGCATCCACATCAGTTGCCGCAAAGAAGGAAGACTGTATCCACTGGAGTTTAATAGAAAACATCATAATTGAAGAATGCTTCACTCATGGTGAAATTAATCTTTAGTCAATTAATGTTAAAAACTAAATGGAAATATTACTAGTTTCACTGTTAAAATTTCATTTATTTGGGTACAGTTTTTGCACTTGCATATTTTTATTTAAGCATTCTAAAATTGATATTATAAATTGGAACTTCTGTCATTTTTAATAGCATTTTTCTAATAGTATTTAAGTTACACCTTAGAGAGTTAACATTTATTCTTGATCAAGACAAGAATATTTGTGTGTCATTATTTGTGTGTGTCAGAAAGAAAATGAAATTTTTTTTTTGCAAATGTCAATAGTGGGTAGAAAGGGTTAGTTTCAAAGCACCTAGGTATTTTGAGATAGTTTACTAAGGGTGATTTTTGGTGTTAGGAGAGTTGCTCCAAAGAAAAATCAAACTGGCCACTTTTCTGCTTTACTTGGCTAAACACTGATTTTTTGCTAATACATTCGCAAGGCAAAAAAATAAGGGTTCAGGACACTCCAAAGAAAACTGGCCTCAGTGCATTCATTCCACCACAGTGCTAAGGAGTTGCTAAGAAGAAAGGTTAAAGCACATCAATTGCTCCATGAAGACGCCCCTTTCATGCTCTCTGTGGTACTTACGCAGTGAGGAAGGCATGAAAGACAAGCGAACTCTGGGTTTACTCTGGGACATTGGCTCCACAGTAGCAAGTGTGCTATGTCAGCCACTCTGTATGTTAGGAAAGACACTTTGTAATATTTATGCATGGGTGCTAATAAGTAAGAAGAGTGGACTTGGGCAGACATTCCTGAATCATCTCTGCTTCAGGTCTATTGGTCTCTAGGAAATTGGTGGCTTTAATATCTATATGCAGTGTAGAATCTGTTAACTTCCTGATGAATAGAGCGTCAAGCACCTTAGGAATGGTGAAAGAAAAAAATACTCCTTTGCTACCTAAGAAAGTTTTGGAACAGAACAATCACAGACAAAAGGAAGTATAGATATAAGGAGGGGAATGGTTGTTGTGATTTACCTAAGCTACAAGATTCGAGATACTGCCAATGCTGATTGAGATACACCCTGCTTCAGGCCATACTGAGCCTCAACAATAACTTGGGGCATGATTTTGGATTCATAATGTAGGCAACAGTTTAAGTACTTGTTGAAGGAGAGCTCATGTTGGAAATAAGGAAAAAAATGTGTGAGAAAAGTCTCCAGGGACTTACAAACAAGGCAGAGCAAGAAAGACATTCATTCTTAACACTCAAATTAAAAATGCGTCTCCTCAGCAGACTAACACTAGTGAAACAGCTGTCACTATCTGATTCCTGAAGACCCAGCAGTGCACAGCCAGACAGCAAAGTTGCCTTTTAGAATAAAACCCACTCCAAGTGCATCAAGGAAGCAACACTGAACAACTGGGGAAACAAAAATCTATTCCTTTTGTCTTGGCGCTACAGGCTTTCCTGAGCCAGTGAGGTACTGACAGAATTGCAGCCTGTGATCTTTGAGCTAGGAGTAGGGAGGGGACTGGACAGAAAGGCTGGCAATGTGGCAGGAGCAGTAAACACTCAGGCTGCTGTCCTGCAGAGCCGGAGGGCTGCAAGAGGCAGGTACTTCAGCCAAGGGAAGAGTGATGCTCAACACACGCAGTGTGCCGGGTAGAACAGCTAAATGCCATAGTCTGATGCACCAGCATCTGTGTTTTATCCTTACAGTTATCTGGGAGTGTGTGTGACTTTAAAGCTGAAGTTCCTGCATGGAAAGTCACTGTTAAAACGTTTTCATCCTGGACCTGTGTCGGTGCCTGCTTTGTCATGGACAGCTACAAAGGCTGAGCGGGTCTGCTTAAAAACTTCAGTCTGTCTCCTTTATCTCCATTCATAGCAAACCCACCTTGAGCTTCAGTCTCAGCAGCTGGTAGATTTTTTGTTCTTTCCAAAAGGTATCAGTTTCTCCACCTGGAACAGTGTGAACAGCCTTTTCTTTGAAGCTTATCCCTGGTAAGAAATCACTCCTATTGAAATCTCTCACTAGGGCACCAACTTGACTCATCAAATGTTCTTTATGACTATTTTTTACAATTTTATTCCCCTATAATTTATACAGGTTAACATAATTCAGAAGAAAGATTAATAACAGCAGCCCCTGAAGATACTATGGTCAAACTGATCCAGATTTTTGTTAATGGCCCTAGCATCTGACTTACCATTGTGCCTGATTGCTTTCCTGTCCTTTATGTGTGTGGTCTCTGCTGCTTGTACAGATGGGGAATCTTTCATTTGTTTAAAGCAGCAGAGCTAGAAGAACAGAGAACAAAACTTAGTAGCAAAACTAAGACCTGGATTTAAAATTTAATCCAAGGTCTAAGTATATATTCTGTCTACAGTTTGGTACAAGTGACAGTTGCTGCCTGAACTTTTACTAACGTTGGAGTAACATGGGAAAAATTACTAGATTGCTTTCTGAGATGAGAACTGAGTCATTTGTGGGCATGTTCATATTCTTACTACATTTGCTTTCCACAATCATGTCAGGTAAAAGTAGCAAGGCATAAATATTTATCCAGAATAGAGTTTAGGGAGGCACCGCCAGAGCATTACACAGGCATTTATATCTACACAAGTCTGGGGCATATGCATCCCATAAAAGGCTGATGCTTGTGAGCCATGAGATTTAGCCTCAGCAGTTCTTCAGGTCCCCATTATCCAGGTGTTTCTTTAATTCAAAAACCACAGTTAGCAGGAATGATTATACTGTTGCCACAAAAGTTATTAGTCATACACAGATATTAGTCACACATAAAACACAGAGCCCTTTATTAAAGGCTGCTAATGGGCAACTAAGTTTTGGGAAGTTCATTGGAAATATGTATTCTTTTTAACAACTGAAATGGCTGGTGCTTTTAGAGGTTATAGCTCAGTTGTGATGCAGCCATATCAGCCAGGCCATAATGTAGAATGACATTTGGGTTAAAGAAGAGCTGGTACTGCAGTAATTGTTCACTCATATAGATTTTCATTGAACAAGTTCCATTTTAGTGTCCACAACTATTTCGATTTTAAACATTCTGTTCAGAAGATTGCAAATGCTGATGATATTTAATATGGCATTTTAAAGACAAAAGGCACCCATGGTAGGGAGAAATGATGGGTTAAGAGAATGACACCAGAGTGACACCAATTTGTTAAAGGTTATGAAGTAAGAGCTATTTTGTAATGGACATGTGCAGAATGTAATGACATGTGAAAAATAACAAGGATATTTGTTACTTCTGAATTA